GAACCCCAGAAACACAGCTATTTTATCTTTCACAAAGGGGCCAAAAACACACTGGAAGAAAGATTGCTTTTTTAATAAATGGTGCTGGGAAAATTAGATACCTATATGGAGAAAATTGAGTACAGACCCATATACCTCATTATGTACTAAACTAAAATCAAAGTGGATGAAAGATCTAAATGTTAAAGCAGAAATGTTTAATCTGCTGAAAGATAGAATAGGTACAATGTCTTGAAGACAGGCATAGGCAAGGACTTCCTGAACAGAACCTCAATGGCACAAGAAATAATACCAAAAATCAAAAAATGGGATCATATCAAATTTAAAAGTTTCACTTCCAATGTAGCACAACCTAATTATGGAGGGGCAAGAAGCATGAACCACTATAGCCTGCTAATAGTGGGCAGAGGTCTCTGCTACAAGTTTTGTTTAGTTATTTGATTAGTTGTTTTTGGAGATGGAATCTTGTTACATTGCCTAGGCTGACCCGGAAGTCTGGAGCTCAAGTGATCTTCCTGCCTAAGGCTCCCAAGTAGGTGGGACTACAGTTGTGCTGCACCACAGCTGACTAAAGCCTCATTTTGTTTTTGTGGTATTGGAAATTGAACTCAGGACCTTTGCATTGGGCTACATCCTCACCCCTATTCTTGTTTATTTTGAGACAGGATCTCATCAAGTTGCAGAACTGCCCAGGTTGGGTGTGAACTTGTAGTCCTCCTGCCTCAGCCTCCCAGACACTATAGATATCTGGTAACTCCATTTGTTCAACGGTGTGGTATAACTGATGTTTTTTTGTTGACTTTTTGTCTAGTTGACCTGTCTAATGGTGAGAGTGAGGAACCGAAGTACCCCCCAATGTGATTGTACTGGTGTCTATCTGTCCATTTTTTTTTTTTTGGTACCAGGGATCGAACTCGGGTCATTGCACTTGCAAGGCAGGCGGCAGAACCACTGAGCTAAATCCCCAGCCCCTATCTGTCCTTTTAAGTCCACTAGTTTTTGTTTTATGAAATTGAGTGTGCTGTCATTTGCTGCATAAACATTTACAATTGTTATCTCTTCCTGCTGAACTGTTCCCTTTACCAGTATGTAGCAGCCATGTTTGTCTCTTTTGATCAGTTTTGCCTTGAAGTTGGCTGTATCTGAAAATAAGATAACTACTCCTGCTTCTTTTTAGGTTCCAGTGCATATAGTATGAATTTCCATGCTTTCACCTTCAGTCTATGTGTACTTCCTTTTGGATGAGGCATCTCTTATAGGCAATTTTTTATTGAATTTTATTTTTTCTTTAAATCCAGTCTGGCAATCTATGTCTTTTGATTGGGGAGTTCAGACCACTGATACTGAGAGTTATTACTGTAAGGTGTCCATTGAATCTTGTTGTTGAATTATTTTTCCAGTGCTGATTCCTTTATTTTTTTTCTTTTGCTTAACCACTCTCCCAGTAAGATGCATACTTTCCTTTGGACCTTTTGGTGCTGGTGACCTCCCTATCTCTGTCTAGGATTCCATTAAGTATTTTCTGCAATAGTTGTCTTGTATTTCTTTAGGATTTCCTTGTTATGGAAGATTTTTACTTTTCCATCAATTTTGAAGGCAGGATATAAAGGTCTAGGTTGATGATTGTTTTCTTTTTTATGAAAAAATAAAAATTTCATTAAAAAAATAAAAGCTTCTTCACAGCAAAGGAGAAAACGAACAGAGTGAAAGACAAGCAAAGTATTTGCCAGCTGTTCCTCAGACAGAGGACTAACATCTAGAATATATAAAGAACTAAAGAGAATTAGACACTCCAAATTAAAAGATCCAATAAAGTAATGGACAAGTGAAATGAATAGACACTTCTCAGAAGTACAGATGGCCAATACATACATGAAGAAATGTTCAATATTACTGGCCATTAAAGAAATGCAAATTAAAACTACACTGAGATACCATTTTATCCCAGATGGAAAAAAAAAATCTAATAACCAATGCTAGTGAGAATGTGGGTCAAAAGGTAGTCTTCTACATTGTAGTTGGGGATGTAATAGTACTACTATGGAAATCAGTGTGGAGATTCCTCAAAAGCTTAAAAATAGAAATTTCATTTTACTTAGCTATAGCCCTTCTAGGTATCTTCCCAAAAGTGTTAAAATCATATTACAGGGATATATGCATGCCAATATTTGTAGCCGTACAGTTAATAATAGCTTGATCTTAAAAGCAGTGTATTTGTCCATCAACAGATGAATGGATAAGGAAAATGTGGTATTTATGCCCACTATAGTACTATATTGCCATAAAGAAAGATAAACTTGAAGAATTTATAGGTAAATGGATGCAACTTGAGAACATAATGCTAAGTAAAATAAGTCAGACACACAAGCTTAAATATCACATGGTAAGTACAAATGGCCAACAAATATTTGAAAGAATGCTTGACATCTCTGGCCATTAGAGAAATGTAAATTAAAATAATCTAAGATTCTATCTTATGCCAGAAAGAATGGCAATCATCAAGAAGTCAAAAAATAACAAATGCTGATCAGGCTATGGTGAAAAAGGAACCTTCCTACATTTTTGGTGGAAGTGTAACCTAGTACAACAATTAATGGAAATCTCTCCAACAACTAAAATTAGAAATTCCAAATGACCAAGCTATGTCCCTTCTAGATATCTTCCTCAAGGAGCTCAAGACCTCATACTACAGTGATATGTGCACACCCATGTTTACAGCAGCACAATTCATAATAGCTAAATCCTGGAAACAACCTATATAACTGTCAGCAGACAAGTGGATAAAGAAAACGTGGAATCTGTATATGATGGAACACAAACTTGAGATATTTGTAGCAAAATGGATGTACCTGTAAAGTATAATATTGAGTGAAATAAACTGGACACACAAGCTTAAATACCATAAAGTTTCCACTCACTTGAGTAAGGAAAAGTACAAACAAAGAGATCAATTGAGTATGGATAAAATGTAACAAGAGGATGGATATCTTGCAAATGGGAAGGGATGCAAGAGACCAAGTGATATTAATTATTTAAGTTTCTTACTGCATTGCCCTGAAGTATAATAGCCATAGGGTGTCGCTCTACTTTGTGCCTTGAAGCAGTTATCAGACTGCTCCTATTTGAAAAAAGTGAGAGTGAAAATAATTGGTGAAAAGTTATTTTTTAAAGTTCCTGTAACTACAATGAAGTACTACTCTGCCATAAAAAGGATGAGTTTCATACATTTATAGCTAAATGGATACACCTTGAGACCATACTCTCTTGTTGTTGTTGTTAAATTCCTTTATTGGTACATTTTAGGTATACAACACAATTACATTTCTCATTGGGAATTGTACCTTTACATAATGCATCTGGGTTCTTGTTTTTTCCCCTTTCCCAGCCCTCCCTCCAACCCCTCCATCCTTCCTTATTTACAAAGACTTTATTTCCATTTTTCCATTTCTCAGCATTTTTCCATTCCCTTCTTTCCTTTCCCCTGCCCCTCCCACTACCTCTACCTCTTTGGACCTTTTCTTCCTATTTTACATTATCGATTATTCATTCTAATCATTGGTACATTTTAGGTATACAATATAATG